ATAACTTTTACATATAAACAGCTCTATTTTTATTCAGACTTTTGACAGAAACTGCAATCTGTAGAGGCAAAAAAGCAGGACTGCCTCTAGGTGCTGTGTAATGTTTCTGTGGAGTGAACAATTTGATTAAACAGCTCAGTCTAAAAGGAATGGCATCATCTTTCCTTCCAAATGTTTTTTTACATAAAACATTTGAAATATGCCATTTCTTTATTCTCATATCAAACACTGAAAAATAATCCAAAACTCAGGAAAGGATTGCTAAGTTACATTTACAACATTCTTTGAAACATGCAGTTTGCAACCAAGTTATACCAAGCACAATGTGGAACAAATGCTAAAAATTTCAACTTGATGCAAGATACTGAGAAAAGCCACACTGAAATGAGCAGCAAACTTTCCTTAGCAAATACATTTTTTTCCTCATGAAGGTTTGTATGGTTAATAGCATGCATTTTTCACATATTACTAGGAAAAACCACCTTGCAGTCTATATGTGGTTAATGTAACACAGACACTGTTTCCATAGCTTCATGCTGTCTGGAGATAACTGAGCAGATATAAAAAACTACACCTGAAGTACTCCTGGTACCTTGGTGTTTGTTGAGGCTAATAAGCTTTTTTTGTCTTCAACACTGTGACCTGTTCATACAGCAATGTAATTATAAATATATATATGGCATAAATTGGTTGCAAGCTCACCCACGTTAAGCTTTTAGAAAATGTTGCAATCAATCCCACAAATAATATTAAAGAGGAAGTTACTGAACTTTGCCTAAATTTCAATTTCCACAGCAAAAAAACCCAGATGAAACTATTAAAGTACAGCCTTAGAAGAATTAAGGCACTCAAGTCCAATTACAATATAGCAACGGTACCATGAATTCATGGAAGATAACAAAGAGAATTGAGCAAAATCTTACTTAAAAACATGCAGAATATCAGGTCATCATAAACTACAATCCAAACAAGATATCTGTTGTAGAAAAGTCCACACAAACAAAATATAATCTCTAGTTAGGAAGCACTAGCATTACTACTGGATTTCAATCAGTAGTAAAAGAAAATACTGAGAAATTGCAAGAACAATAGTTTGCTGCACCATTAGAAAATATTTAGCCAACATAGCTAGTATTAGTAAACATTACAACCCACAGCTGGTGTTTGTAATGCACATGCATTTCATACATCATTATCTGCATAAAGTTTGCATGAAAGAAAACACCAAAAATACCTTTGAGTTTAGTTTTTTTCTTGGCTACCCCTCCTGGCTCCTCACCTAATTAGTTGCAAAATGGAAATAGGTTATGAACATGTTTGTGAAATTTAATGAATTGACATGAAATTTCCCAACTTGCCATGTTATATAAAGAGTTCACTTTACATAGCACACTACAATGCTATGGAGAAATAAAAAATACAAACTCTTTAAAAATAAATCAACTTCAGTTGCGGGACCATTATAAGTACTGATACGAAAGACTAACTAATCAAAGAGAAGTACCACATTACCAGATGCTACTTTTGAAGCATCTGAACTTGGAGATTGCTCAGGTCTCTCCAGACAAGTGCTGCCACATAAGAATAACTGATACCCGCTCTGATTTACCTGCAAAATATTTGTCAGTTCCCTCTCAAAAACAGTAATTTATGTTTATACAAAATTTTATAAATAATATATAAATATTTATTTATTATATATAAATAAATTTACATAACATTTTATAAATATTTTATAAACATATTAAGTCAAAGGGATTTCAAGTACACATTGAAGAGTATATAAACTGACTGTTTTCTTACACTAAATTACAATATGACTATTTATTCAAAATAAAATAAATGTTTTGGCAAAGGTTTTGCTTAGCTTAGATCAAAAAAACAGTTACCAGTTCATCAGCATTAAAATACTTAACTGCATTACTTCAGACTTCTTAAAACTGTTAGTCTTCTTTTCCCATTGTAGCTAACAAACTGAGGGTAGTCAGCTTCTTGATTGTACTTCATAGCTAGTACCACAAGAGGCATAAAGGCCAAAGCTTTTCCAAAAATACAAATAATATTTAGCTTCATCTTTTTAATACCATTAAAAGAGACTGGATTCACTATCATGATGCTGTGGATTAAGACTTAAATCCCACAAACACATAATTTTAACTACAAAAATCATGTAAGTTGTTACCTAAAAACCAACTAGAAAGTAAAGCTGAAAAGATACAGTAAGTATTACTGTAAAGTATTACAGTACAGTAAGTATTTATTTTTAAACGCATACATAATCTTCTTAAACAAGAAGAGATATTCCCATGTCTCAACACTAGGCTTCTCATTCAGACATACAAAACACCTACACTGAACATCTGCACCATGAGCTTAGGTTTCCAGAAAACAGTATCAATCTAAACTGAGTCATATAGCAACACTTAATCTGAAAAAGAAAAAAATACTTTGATAGCCTATACTAAAAAAAAAAGAAATAATAAATTCAAATAATTTAATGTAAAGTCATTGTAGTCACCTTGCATCTAACTTCTATACTAAACGTTTTCAAAAAATCAAGCGTTGACATTATGGCCAAAATTGTTTTAAAAAGGGTTAGTCAAGTAAAAATACAGGCTTTAGATTAATTTCCTTACAAATTCATAATTGGGATATGAGTATTTCAAGCTCTTCCCTCATTGATTACCACCACTGCTAAAGTCCAGAGCTCTAACTTGACTAAAATCATTATTCGGTCTTACTATTTCTAAGCAGTGCATGGAAGAATAAGTTAACTTTTTTTTATATAAAAGGAAAAATAGACTCCAGCTTACATTTACATCTCAGTGAAAATATAAACAATAAAATGTACTCAGAAAAGTTGCACGAAGCCTTATTTAAATTTGCAACTCCTCCCCTCTTTTCATATTAAAATTAAACATTACTGGATTTTTTTAAGATACTCTTAAAAGCATGTGTTGACAAAGAAAATTATAAAATTTTACAAGTATTGGTATACACAAAAAATATCATACAGATATTTCAAATTATTTTAAAATAAACATATAGGCACTATGTTGAAAGATTACGAAACCTTATTACTAATTATTGTTATTTCATTTGTTAAATATTCACACAAGTAGTAATTTTGTTTCAATCTGCTTTTATGCAATGTGTAACACTAAAATTCTCAGAAAATTTTCAATTCATGACATAACTGCACAACTCATGTAATCTTTAACATATTAGTAGACCTGTTCAAAAGAGAGGTATGTAAAATAATATATTTTAAAACATTAGTATTATGAGATAATCGCAAGACTGAAATCCTGCTGCATCTTGATTTCTGCCTGGATATGATCCCTACAAGGGGAAATCCCTACAGCACAGGGAAGTCTTACTTGTCAGCCCCAATTATGCTGAAGAAAGATGGGTGCAAACCACCTGGTTTTCCAAGACAGAAATATCCAGAGAATGTGACAAAATCCAGCATCTAAGGGAATTCATCCAAGACTTAGGCTCTTACAGCACAGGGGCTGTAATGTCCAGAAATGTCCAGAAATGTCCAACAAATGTCCAGAATTCTATAAATCATGTAGCTGAACTTGTGGACTGTTATTCTAAAGTGGTTTCACACTTGTTTTGAGCTAGTTTTAAAGTTCATTGTTTTTTCCATCCAATCTCACATAAACGTCCAATGCTGGTAATGCAAGAAGAAAATATACTATTTATAACATCAAATGTGGGTATAATGGAAGGTCAGAAATGGCTACTATTAGATTTAGTTAATTAAAAAGTTGAGTTCAAAGTTAACATAATTGGATAGGTTTACAATATTTTTTTTAAATAACTCCTTTAAATAATCATTATAAAAATAAAATGCTCCTCTCAAAATGGTCATTTTCATACAGTGCTTAAAGGTGGTCAGCTTGCTATCGTAACTGACCTTTTGAAGCTCAGGAATATTACAAAGAATTCTTATTCTGCAACAAAGTCTAGTTCTTTCCTCTATTTTTCTCTATAAAAACCTTCAAGAACATTATCCACAGACAATCCCCAAGTAAGAGCAGAAATTTAGAATTTGAACATCAGAAGAAAAATACATAAATACTATTTTTATTTAGAATTATAATCATTGCAAAACAGAAATAATAAGCAAAAAGCTCTCAATTTTTGAGCAGTTTCCCAGATGCTGACAAATAACATTCTCATATTTAACAATATATTGAGCTACCTAGCATGTTCAAATACAATTTTATTCACTTAATAATCCTGAAAACTTTAGTAGGCTTGCTAGACAACAGGCTTTGCCATGTGAAAAATTTCCTCTAAGTCAATTTCTCCACAACCTCTACCTGCATAAACACTTTTAACCTGCAGCACCAGGAAACAAATATAAGCTAATTAAGGTGGTTTATCCACTTAGATGGGAAAAAGGGAGAGACTACTTTGCATTTACTGCAGAAAGGACATGGGCCAGGTTAGCACTAAGGAGCCGACAGAGCTTGCTACCCTTCTGTAATTTATGCAAAGCCTGGACAACAGGATATAAAGTGTCAAGTTTTAAAACACCAGAGTTGGTGTTCAGACTCTTGCTTTAATTTATGATGTTACATCAAGAACCTCCTTAGTCACACAAAAAATTAATGAAAGATGTTAAAATTGCAGTACCAAAAAAGGAAATACAAATCTGTAAGCCAAAATAATGAACAATTTTTTCCCTCCTTTTTATTTTCCTTTTCCAGAAGAACTGCAAGTCAGAAAAAATAATGATTGTTTGTACATCCCTCTGCACATAATTAATACTATTATTGTGCATTTAAAATATGCTATATTAGATATACAAGGTCATCTGCTAAACAAAATTAGTTTACTGACAGGAAGCTAACACCCACTTACCTTTAACTGAGCTCAGAGTGCTTGTCTTATCAAAGCCTGTAACTCTCCAAGTGCAAGAGTTTTAATTCATACAACTAGCATAAAAATCCCTTAAACAACAAAAAAACCACCAAACTTCAGTATATTCTCCACACGTTGCTTTAATATCTCTTGCTTATTTAACTCTCTAATGTCAGAAGAAAAATCCACATCACATACACTTGGTAGGAAGCATTTTTGTTCCCTGAAGTCACAGATGTTTATGCTGCACCTTGTATGAGCAGATATAAGAAACCAACAAGTAAATCTTAACTTTATTAGCCTCATATTGAGATATACATCCTAACTGACCATGAGAAAGACAATGTATTTCATGCTACTGTGACATCATTATGATAGATGCTTATCTGATGGAAACCAAACAGGGAACACAGTAACACATCTCTCCAAAATGACTGATCTGTACACAACAGCTTTCCCCATCTCCCAAATTACATTTACAATACAAGTAGGTTTTACCTCTCCCATCTGACCGTGAAATGAAATTAAAATCTTTCTCGTGCTTCAATACATTCTTCTTCTGTGCTGCCATCTAAATGCAACCTATACCAATAACAGTTATGAAAATCTGATTTCTTCTAAAGCCAGACAATTGAAGCTAACTAATAATGAAAATTTTTTAAAGGGGGCAAAATATTTTACAATAAAAATTTTAACAGATATGCAAACAATCTCGGTACTCTTTATTCTCTTCAATTCAAAGTTATTCTATATAGTATGAGCATTGTGATTTCTCTCTGCCATATAACACTCTTTAACCTTCAAATTAAATACTGCTGAAGGTGGTCACAGAAATCTGGGGTTCAAAGTGCCCAAAAGTTTTAAGCCATTTCAGATGTACAGGTATTAAGGATTTTTACCCCTATCAATTTATTTTGATTAGTATCACAAGAAAGCAAGCAAAAGCTTTACTACAAAGGTTAATGCAGTATTTTGTTTGAAAACTGGCAATTAAAATATCAAACATTTACCAAGAAATGACAAAATAAAACAGCCCACAGATTTCTAAAAACACTGGACAAACTGGAACACTACAGTTTTAGTCACAGATATTTATTTCTGGCATTCTGAAAACAACATAAATTAACTGCAAGGAATATGAAGGTATCTAATGAAACCTGCATGTCCAATTTAATATAAAATCAGTAAAGTTGTATTCCTTGCTAGGCATAAAACCCAGCAAGTTCCAATATTGTTTGCTATAATTTTCTCCTGTTTTAAATTCTCAAACCAGAAACTGCGGGAAAAAGTAGCAGCCTTGCTCTCTAAAATAATTATTCTAACATAATAGAAGGCAAAATGCCACAGCATTCAACTCACACTGTAAAAATACTTTAAAAAATTTTAATGACTGTATTTTTATAGTCACAAACAATCAAATTAAAAATCTAGTTTTTAAGTTCCTCAACTAATTTCAAACTATTTGTGAGGATTCACAAGAAAATTGGGATACTGTTCAGTTTTCTTTGCTTATCTCCACATCATACTCAGCTTAACGCTTTTTGCTTTTAGATGTTTTTTTAAAACAAATTAATAAACAAACAAAAAAGCTTGCCATGCTTATATAACTGAAGATTCAACTAAATCTTATTGTCACCCTTACTAGCCAAGTTCGGCTTGTAATCACAACCATTAATAGAATACATGAAAACCAACTCTTCCCAAACCTCTGAAGAGATCCATGGGTGAGAGTTCAATTCTTAACTCAACAGGAACAACCTCAGGCAAGACAGAATACTTCTGAGAAGACTATTTTCCAGAAATGAAGTACCCTACAAAGATATTTACTTAGGTCTTTGGGTCTTTGCATTCTTGCATTCACCCCTCACCCTTCTCCCCTGACAAATTCTTCATTCCTACTATAATTATTTTTGAGCTGATGTTTATAACTTAATAAAACCAAACAGGAAGTTGCACGATGTCAAATCAGAACTCTGTTGGCCTGCCTTTCATATCTGCAGCTCACATTAAACAAATTTACTGTTTAATGATCACCTATCTCAGTGCCTGTAGCTCTGTCATGGTTCAAGCAAGCCACCTCAATTTCACTTGAAAAATTTCCAGTATATCAATTCATTTTTTAACAATTTTGTATAAACTTCATTATATATATTCTTATAGCAGATGTTTCTCTTTGCTTTCTGGTTATCTAGTTCCATTACTGAAGTATCTACAATAGAATTCAGTGTTCCATGACAATTTTTAAATTCACACTGAGAGGTATTATTAGCCGAAAACAGTGATGAAACTCTTATTTCCAATTCAAATCTTCTTCAAAAATTGATATTTAAAAAATTCTCAACCAAAACAAAACAACCCAAGCTTACTTATTTCCTACATCTCAGACACTGCAAGTTTCTTGCACTTGCTAACAAACCACTGAGTAATATTCTAGATCTACTAATATTTATTGTTATAATGTTTAGGGGTTTATTTATTTTTTTTTTTACTTACACTTTGTATATCTTATTCTAAAAACCACTAAATTTATATCCTGTTAGCTTTCTTATATCCTAATCCCCAGATATTTGGAAGAAAATGCGACCAATGCTCTCATGGCTCTATTTAATTTGTACACCTTGAGTAGCATTATTAGGCCATCACATTTCACTTGCTTAACACTAGCATATTTTTATACCTTTTTTTTTTTAAGCAGGCATGTTAAATTGCTTTAAAAATGGCATGCCAAAGTAAGTGAAATTTTATTTATTTTAGAAAGATGTTAAAATTTCAGCCTACCACAGCCTGCAAATACTAGTGTTTAAACTTGGGTATCAACCTCATATAGGAAACCAGCACAAACTTAAGCAAAGCAGGCATTACAAAAAACAATTTTATACAATTTTTAATAGTAATTTGTTTGAGTACATTATTCATGTTTTAAAAGGATAGTTCCATTTCAGCTTTCGATACCTCATACAAACTGCAGGACACAATTATAAACTGTCCTTTCTATACCAGTAACTTCATGATAGCAGACAGAATTCACATACATGAAAAGTATTTTTGGAACAACTGTCATAGAACAGTTTCACAAGAAAAAGATTCAGATTTGTAAAACTACATTAAATACTTAAATTTCTCAAGGAATAGAAGACATTAAATTCTAATTTTCAATTAGTCTTTAATATATTCAGTATTACATTAGAAATACATAATCATAGCTTCCCACTTGCACAGAAGGCCCACCTTAAAAACTAAAAGAAATTTGGAACAGCCCTTTTGATGTGATTGTCATATTAAAGAAATGACTGAAGATAGTTTGAAAATAGACAAATCAGTGGGAATAAACCATATGACAGTGTAGCTAACTTAGAAATAAATGTTTCTGTAGAATTTTCAAGCACTTATAAATTAGTGCTTGTCTTTGAACAAGTAAAAAGAACCTATCTGAGAAATCAGTGAATCACAGAATAAGTTATTTATTAAAACTGTATTTCACAATATAATATAGAGAATTATCATTGTCATGACTATATTAAGGATTAACATAAAAATATGTATTTACAAAATGCAGTCATGCTAGAATACTTTACATTCGAGGCTGTTACAAAATGCTTCAGTTAATGTTTGCTAGAAAGACAAATGTTATAGTGTTAACAGCAGAGATTATTACACTTAAGCTTTGTAAATTTTGTGCACAAAATGCACAAATTGAAGCACATACAGAAACCAACTACACAACCACAGATACACGTTTTATTCTACATATTTACACACTTGTGTAATATTTGCCATCCTGTCACAAAAATGGAAAAATTATTGAAAGGCTTTCAGCTACTGAAATAGTATTGCATGGCTAACTTTAGTTCAATCTTTAGAGTGTCCATTTGGCAGGTTCCCCTCAATGCCATAAATTCTTGCTATATTAAAGTTGATGATTTCATGGACATTTTTGAAAGCCAATCAAATTAGTCTTTCAGTCACTGGTTCTGTAAATCCAAAATAACACAAGTCTTTTTTCCCTGAACCCCTTCATTCTGTGACGTACCATCAACATCATCTGCAGCTTCGCTCTCTTCTTCTTCTAGTATTTCAAAAGGAGTCAATACATCATAGAGAAATGAGAGAAAGCCATAAAACCAATCAGAGCTTTCCTCTGCTAAAATATTAAGGACTTCCTCAAGGGAATCAATATTTTCATTACTGCCATCTTTGGTCAGGCCTATACAAGAATAGAGGAAAGAGAGAGAGAGAGGGAAGGGGAAAAAAGAGACAGCAGTTAGGTGGAAAGAGGAAACTGTAAAAGAAGGATCTGTGAAAGACATCTCTTATCACAGAGAGAAGTCTTTAGAGGAATGCTAACTAGGAAATAGAAGGATATCAAGAAAGTTGAATCTTTCCCACACAGACTATAATTTGGGCAATAAACATGCAAAATAAAAAAACAGAATCTTAAAAAAAAAAAAAAAAAAAAAAAAAAAAAAAAAAAAAAAAAAAAAAAAAAAAAAAAAGAGAGAGAGAAAAAAGGCAATAGCTTTGCTTTCCATTCTTCCTAGTCCTAAAATTAAATCCATTTATATTCAGGTTTTCTGCCACAGCATTCACATTAAGATAATTTTTTTATCAGTAATCTTGTACTATTTTAAAATCACCCAATTTGTTTTCTTTATTTTTTAAACCATTACGTTCAATTTTGAGAGCTTGCAACTGATGGCCGAGAATAACATTTAAATGAGTACATAAACAATCTTGTCACAGACACACTGCTCAGGATAACATTCTTATCCATGCAGAATTTTGATTTTGCTTAGAAGTGAGGATTCTAATTGGTGGGTTTGTAGTTTGTTTGCTTCTTTGGGTTTTTTAAGAAGTTTCTGAAACATTTTTTTCTATGATAGATTTCTGTATGATGCACTTGATACTCAGGAATTATTTCCACACCTGAGGATATATAGAACACCAGATAAAAATGAGTAGGCAGCCAATACAGGGTGTGAGTTTTCTTATATAGAAAATCTAAAGCAAGGTAAAGAGCTAAAGCAGAGAAGTCCAGAACAGCAAAGAGTGACCTCATCACTGCTAAAGACCCTAATATTAGAAGTTACTATTTTATGTTACAAGACCCACTGATCTAAATGGCATTTGTAAAGTGCAAATAAGCCATGGCTTATGCTTTTTCCCCCTCCTGTTTTTGGGGAGGTCTTGCATAGGTTTGTTTTTTTGTTTTTGTTTTTGTTTTTGTTTTTTTAATTAAAATCACTGTTTTACAGTTGTTACTAAATAATATTTCAAATTTTCCATTCTAAGAAAAGCACAAGAGAATGACCAGGAAACAACAAATTACTGGTATGTTTTAAAGCTGCAGAGGGAGGAATTTCCCCCACTTCTAACCAGAACAAACCTTCATTTGTTTTGAAAAGACAAGCAGAAAAGTGATCTAAAGGTGAAGACAGATTGTTTAAACATAAAATTAAGTGAATGTGTTGCACATGCAGATTACAAAGCAATATTAGATGCAGGTTAATGAAACAATCAAGATAGAAAAAAATCATGGCAGAGACATTTAACACATTTCAACATGTTTTTCTTACAGCATATAGTGAAATTATCAATGATAATTCAGAAGAAATTTCCAAGTCCATGATATTCCACATCCTTGTACCTGGATGTCCAGAACCTCTACTTGAATGACCAGCCATTCTCTTTAACTTTTCACTGGATAGCCCAAAGGTTTAAAAATGACAGATTGAATCCAGGAGGCAATCAACGTATTATAAATATCCCTCTCCAACTTCTTCCATGGCTTAGTTCTATAAAAATTAAATTTTATGAACAACTTTATGCACAGTATTCAATTATTGTAATTTGTTTTCAAAATTTGGGTAATACAAGATATAAAGACATAAACTGAAGTAAGGATATTTATTGAAGAACAAAATCTCAATATAAGAATGGAAACTTGAATCTAAAAATCCTAAAAGTATAATCCAAGTTATAAATACAGAATTAATGTTTGTGTCATCCTAGTCTGTCAGAATCTCATATAAAAACATAATGGGGGGAAAAACAAAACAAATCCAACAAAAGAAAAAAACAACACACTCCTCCCAAAAGAACTCAAGAAGTCATTTTTGTACACATGTACAGAATCATATATAGATGCCCCTGTTATTGCATGAAGTCAAGAATATGACTTTTGGCCAATTATATTTGTAAAATGGAGTACAGCAGCATTATTTTCTTTGAAAATATTAGGACTCCAAAGAGAACCACAGAAATTGGAAGAATATGTCTTACAGTATTTGTCAAAAAAAAAAAAAAACCCAACCAAAAAAAACCCCAAAAAACCAAACCTTTTCTTTCCAATTATTTGCAAAAATTATCCCAGATGAAAATTATGGCCTTTGAATTTAACAAAATAAACCCAAGAACAAAACCAAGAAAAACCCTCAGGCAACACTTCAGCCTGAGTTAAAGGAAAAAACCACAGGATTTTAAAGAGTATAGAAAAACTGCCAACTCACTAATACTCTGGTTTTCATCTTCATTCACCCCCATAATCAAGAAGTGTTTTTCAAAGTAATAACTGATAAGCTCACAAAAGCATCATAACAAGTATCTGAAAATGGTGACAAAAGCAGATCAGCAGGAACTCAAAAGAATATAGCTATTTTATTTCAAGAGAAGTCTTAACATGAAAATTTAAATCCAAGTAAGAAAGGAGTCAAAATATTTGTCCATTCAATAGTTACCACAAGCAGTACGGCACTGGACTTCCCTACATGCATTTAACAAGACAAAATATTTATTTTCCTGTAAACACCTCGTCTGAAAATGAGCACAAGCCAATAGTTGAAAGTGCTACAGTAGAGCACAAGAAAAATAGGGAAGAGAATGAAACTTATTCTAAACAGCTGAACTGTGCAAAAGCATTCTTTTTAACTTATAATCTCACTATAGATTTTTTGAATGTGCAATCTCAGTGTGACTGCCTGCAAACATATATTTCTACTGGAGGTGAACCAGAAGAAACTAAGATTTTATTTTTACTTGGATTCTACTGCTTATTACCATTTGACTGCTGATACATGAGGATGGAGTTTTGCCATTTTCTGCATAGCTGGACTACTCTGAACTAAATGCACAAAAACAATAAAGGGTTTGTTTTCTGTGGCTGCAGTTCCAAAACTGTACTAACTACTGCAAGCATTTAAGGAGAATTTCTCAGGATATTGTTGCTTGTTAAAAGGCAGATAAGTACAAAAGAAACAGCATAACTCCAAAGTGACTATTACAACAGACACTGGTACCCCTATGCATGCCACTTTTTTAGTAATACCACTAAAGCCACTGCTTCACTGTACTGATTTAAAGCAAGGTCAGATGTGTAGCACTCTCCCTAATAACACCCTTCTGAGAACAACTGGAATGGACAAAAACTGGGAAGCAAAGTACTGCAAACAGCAGCCCCCAAAGGAGCAGGTTACAGAGCCTCTCTTCCCATTACCAGAAGGAAGTCTGTAAACAGAACCTCAGAAATATCTATGAAAAAGACAAAATCTGCAAGATAATGGCAAATTAGCTTCAACAAGTTTTCATTTCCACCACAGATAATTTTAAAATAAATGCTATAATACTCCATAATTACTTGGGGTTGGTTGACTGGAGGGGGTGCAGGTGGTTTGGGTTTTTTTGGGTTTTTTACTTCATTTACACAAGGAGTGGGGGAAGAGAAGAAGGACAAATTTCTCGCAGATCTTTTTGAAAATTACACAAATCCTTCAAGAGAAGCTAATCATGAAACCCACTTTGATTCCAACAAATAATAAAGAACAGATCTTATCATACCTTATACAAACAAGAAATAAAACAATAAATTTTAATTATTCTATTTAGGTATAGCCAAGTAATACAGAAAATTATTAAACTATCAGCTATTAAAGCAATATTTGAAATACAAAATAAACTCATAGCAGTAGAAGCATTTCTCAAAATGTTAGTTAAATTAATTTAAACTTAATATTAAGATATTTAATTTTTTCATTAACATGATATTCAATCTTGAAATCTGTAGTGAAAACTAATGGTTATGGAAGTGGACAACATTAAACCACTGTATATATCACAACTTCAATACACAATACTAGTGCTGTGATAGCTAAAGATCAAAAGAGAATAAAGCATATGCATCCCTATCATTAAACACCAAACTCTAGTAACTCCTTTTGCACCAAAGAAACCACTTGCTGTTATGGCAGTCTGACCCAGAAAAAAATCCCAGAAAGTAATAAGCCTTCCTAACAAAATCCTCACAAATAAAAGGAGCTTTGCACTTAATATTCAGAAAGTAGGCTTACTATTCAGTTTCCTTTACTACAATGATTTAATTCTGGAAAAAAATTCCTCAAGATGGAATCCAGGCTTCCTGTTTCTACATCAATGAAAAAATTTCAGTCTGCATTGTGGTACTGATTTTTTATTTTGCATTAAATTTTAAATGCAAAAGTAAATGTAAATGTAAACAAGTACAGTAGCTTACAGGAAAGTTCAGTGAATAATATAACATGCTTGTTATTGGAAAAAATATATTTTTATATACATAATTTTCTCACTGTCACAAAACTTTAAAATTTATGATTTCTTTCATCCTGCAAAAATTATTTTCAAATTTAAGTGATATTAAATCCTATTTCTAAGTAACTTTTCAAAAATAATAAAAATAAATCTTGATCTGTGACCTTTTAAGGTCACATTTGAAGTACAAGGTTTAAATGCATGATAAGACAAGCTTAGAATAGAAACACTTTCATGTACTGGCAGAACTCCCAGCTATATCAGGCTGCATAAAACAGAGATAGAACAAAGCAGCAGAATGTTTCTGCCTGTATATGACCATCTAGAAAAGAATATCCAGTTTCTATACACTACATAATAGATAGAGAAAGATTAGAATTATAACTATACAAGTATTAGTCACCAATTATAATTAACACCCAATCTGTAGCTCTGTAGCCAATAGGAGTGCTGGAAATTCTTTGGAGTGACTCTTACATGCACACCACTGCAAACTGATTCAGTTGATTACATGGGTTTTCTATAAATTGTGAAGGGATTAAACAAATGAACACACATCCTCCCAAAGACCTGCTTACTTCTCCAGATAAAAGTAGGAAAAATAAGATAAGCTGATTTTTATGGAAAATAGCAAACTATAACATCCTAATGTACTACTGATAACTTTGACTAGTTTGATACATTCAATTTTGTCCTCTGCTCAAACTGTTAGTTACTATGCTGGGGGGTTTATTGCTTTGTTAATTTGTTTAATTTTACAGGTTTGTGTGCTCAGCAGAGGTTTAAATTTGAACAAACTAACTAAAGAAAATCTAAAGAAAAGTAAACTTAAGTAAAATTTCTACCATCAGGTAGGCAAGAAGTATCTATCCAAGACTTGACTGAAGCTGAAGAAGGCAGTGCTTTAAAAGATGTAAGTAAACAACACTATCATAAAGCATGTCTAGAGATTGAAATTTCCCTTTGAAGATACACAGTGAGCAGAAAGACATTCTCACAAATTACAAGGAACAAAAGCCTAAACCCATTGTTTCAATGCCAGAGAAGAAAAATTCATGTTATGTACTGTTTCTGAAGGGCAAAAAAATGAACAGACTTGTGGAGAATTCAGAATAGAGGGAAGACAATACAAAAATACACTACACAAATAGTAATCTAAGAAGTACAAAGGCACATTTAAGTAATTTTAAAATGGACCTAGCTTAACATGTTAACATAAACAATGTTTTCATTCTAGAAGCATCTTAGGTCCTGCATCTGATAAATTTACTGATAATCACAACCTTCTTTCAACACTCAATACAGCAGCATCAACCACCTAATTTAAAAATCATCCTGTAAGATTAAATACTTTCTGCTAACATTGCTATGTTAGAAGAAAAAGAACAAAAATGACCTACTACTTGCATTAAGGAAAAACTCATCACAATGAAATCAACTTAAGTTTTCAAACTAGGAAAAAACAAACAAACCAGAAATATTGTTTTGACTTAAAAACAAAAAAGCAAAACTTGAATATGCCAGCTAAATTATATAGATTATTCCACCTGTATTTGTACTTGCCTAGCAATACTTTAGCATCTTCCACATCAAAATCTCCATCTCCATCAGCATCATATACCCCAAGCTTGCCTAGAAGTGCAAAGAAAGGAAGAAAAGACAATTAGGGATTTGGCTATTTGTGTCCAGCACAGCGTTCAATGTGCAATGATTGACTGTCAATGATAGGTTGTTACCATAGGTTTTTTAACAATCTAGCTGTAATATTCTTAACCACATTTTATACTTCCTGGTAAATACTCAAATATTTCAAGTTTCTTTCTGTATTTCCTGCACTTCAGATCAAACACAAGTTTGTCTTTTTCCTGCATTGATTTTGCAGCCTGTAGATTTAAAGCAAGTCTATAATTATATACTTGACATGGACATGCTTTGCTCAGAATAAAATTTAAGTTCATGAGAAGCATTCAACTTGTTTGAGGGAAAATAACAAAAACAAAAATTTGTAAAATAATAGCCATTTGTTTTCTGATTACATGGTTTCTGCAATTCTAAATTCTTGGAAAATAGACAGCTATATAGGTATATAGTTTTAGTGCCAAGTTAATAGAAAGTAAGCAGCCTACTTCCTAGACAAAGGAAAACCATTCACAAATTTTACCAACAATTGCATAACCTTCCATGCAAACAAAAAAAGTTGTCCATCCTTTCATGTAAGACTAACAAATCAGTTTTCTCACTTTTTGTTTTTGAAACTGCAGCTCAATCAGCCCTAAGTATATGCAAAAGGAGAACTCAGTTTCTATTAAAATAGAATTTTTAGCATAAAAATATGGTATCTAGGATTTAAGTGTCCTGGGACCACCAAACTAAGCAGAAAGTTATCTAATTATAGGTTTGATAAAATTCAGACACAACTTTTAACAGGATCAAACTCTACAGAGTTTGCAGAACTTTGTGTCCTTATAGTCTGACAGCTTTCTACACTTGTCATTCTTTAAATGGAGGTAGAACTTTCTTGCTATCAAAATAAATGAAATACAGTTCTTAATATGGTACTTATAAAATTAGAAAACAGTTTTGTGGAAGAAAAAATTTAGACTTGGGTCTAGAATAGAAAAATATGTTCATCACCATTTTATGAAAGCAACCCAATAGAAAGGAGCCATATCTGTTTATGGATAAACACAGCAGACTGGTGCAAAAATATAAGTCTCTAGAAATAAGAATTATATCATCTTCAAAACCATGAAGAATGAGACAAATGATAAATGGCTGAGCTTCATGTCATTGCAGAAGAAGCGTAATTCTTTAAAAAAAAATTAAAACTATAATAAAGTAAATAAAAACTTTCAGCCAAGGGACTGTAAAGCAAGATTATTTCTCTAATATCCTACCTTGTAGGACCTCTGACAAGTTATAACGGAAATCCTTTGCTTTGGCTGCATGCATGGTAAAAATACAAAAAACATTATTTGCATCACTAGACCCAGTTAAGTTTCAAACCAGAAGATTTTTTCTGAAAAAAAAAATCAGTCCAGATCAAAAAAAAAGAGCATGTACCAACAGATTTGTAAATTTTGTAAATCCACCAGTGCAAAAGTGCATATTGAATCCTACAACATCGGGGAAAATGGCTGTTCCTATGGACATACGTCTTGAAATTTGAGATATTAATTTGTAACCTTAAATATTATATTAACCAGTGCTATCTTAAAATTGTCATATTGAGATAGATAGAATTATCACCACTATAAGCTTGAAACTGAGGTCATTCAACATCTCACTCATGAGAGGATGACTGATCAGCTGTACTGACCCCTACAAGCATGACAGTCCATCAGAGCACAGCTAGCATGAGCTGCCTACTTTCAACCACGGCTGAGTTTCTGAGAGCTTCAATTCAAACTGCATATGTAGCTGACCTCTCAAATTAACTACAGTATATATGTTACAAAGACATTCTACAGGATGTTCATACCCTTTTATGAGATCCCCATTTTAACATCATAATAGTGCTCAGCATTAAAACATACATTTTGAACCACACTGTCTATTCTTATCATGTAGATAATTTGCAAACACTACAGTAGACAAATCACCTATCTAAAAACAAAAAATGGCACTCACTTAATGCATATCATAACATTATTAGATAAATCTTAAGATTTAGAATTCTTACCTAGAACTTCTTCATAATCTACAAGTTCAAACCAGACAACTGCTACTGATGTCCAAACTCCCAGCAAAGCAATTACCATAAACCAGGTGAAAAATGAGCTTCCAGAGAGGCCTTCTTTCTTTCCATTCTTGCTTCCTCCATGCTTAGTCTCTGTTAAAATAAAACAAGAAGAGAAAATGGCTGTAAGAGTTAGAAAATTATTATTGAGGATACAATTATAAAACTTGGCACTTATGGATACACTAAATACTAGACATTTGAGCAACAATGCTAGGTTTTGTTGTTGTTGTGGAGTTTTTTAGTTGACTGTTTTTTTTAAACTTTACCACCTTTATTTATTTTCAATTTCACTGTAAATTACTGTGAGAAGCTTGATGATTATCTAAGCAAAAGCCTCATAACCAACCAAACACCAAAAGTCCCTATCTAATTTGTCTTACAAGGTAGCTGAAAATTCTGCCTTGCTCCCCTTTGTTGTCTGTTTACACAGAGCTTCACATTTTTGGAATGCTTTGCATTTGTTCCCCGCAGTTCCCAGACTGCCACCAGAGGCCAGTATGGCGAGCAGAAAAGATTTGCAAGAGACGCATTTCTCCTAAATCGAGTTTTAAAACTAGTCAAAATAGCTCACACAACCAATGTGACAATTCAAATAGCCTAAGAAAACTCTAAAACCTGACCTATGTTAAGGGTAAGACTTCAAATTCAGAACACTTTGCCAACTAAAACTACTTTCTCTGATGCTTAGAATTAAGCAGAGAGTCACCCATGCTACACAACTCTAGAATTTCAGTCCTATGGAACATACATGTAAAAGGATGACACAGACATAACAAAAATCATGTAATTTTTAATATAGATTTACTTTCCATATGTGCACTTATAACTGCACATATGGAAAGTAAATCTATATAAAAAATTACATATAATTGTAAACAAAAGACAGTGAAAGACACTGACCCAGCATATGTGTAGCAAGTTTCAAATGGGGATCATCACTAGAGAAGACATACATTGCTTAGTCTGTTGCTTTAGGATTGTTTTAGTGAAATAGGGATATGCATATACATATATATATAAAAGTAAATAAATATGTAACCAGAAAGATGCCTTCCTGTGGCCTTCCTCCAAAGCTCAAGGTCTGCTCTTCTGCCCCTGACATTACTGCTGCAAGACTGGCACTTGGCTGCAGTTTCAAATTTGTTAGTCTATTCCACTTCATTCCATTCTAAAAAACAACTTTTGCCTGCTCAGCCACATGCAGGCCCAGTTATTCAAGCAGAACTATTTCTTACATGATTTACAGAATGCTGCAAAAATTTTTGTCATGAATATTTAGATAAGCTAAGGAATTATCTTTATACAAATTGAAAGAAATGTTAGATGTATTTATCAACACTGATCATAGCAAAAGACAAAAATCCTCTTAGAAGCTAAATATCAACACAATTGTTTTTTAAAATAAAATGGTATATCTGAAAGATAAGTAATGAGGTGTGTGACTAACTTGTTTTTGTAACAGGAACTATATATAAGTACTCTCTGACCCTGCTTGCCAGCAGGTTTACAGTTGTAATAAAATACTCTTTTATTACATTCATTGTTCTTCATACCAAGTTCAGACCAAATAAAAACCATTGACCCATGTGAACTCTTACTCAGCTCAGCCTTTTACTGAAAAAAATTATTATTTTATTAACACTACTCCCTTCAACGATCAAACACCAACTTTTAGTTTCTTTTCTACATTAAACACAAATGCCCAATAATATTCAGAGAGAAATTGAGGCAACTTAGCCTCATATCAGGCATATATCATTTGCTACTGCACAGTTCTCTAACCATATGTGTGCAGGGTCCATATACACAGCTCATTGTAACATCTCTCTTGTGGAAAATGTATGGGTAGCCTGAAAATTGAGGGACAGAAAAGCAGTGTCTGCATTCAGAAATATGTTCAACTGTATGAAAATGATTTATAGTACTATTGAACTGGTAATGTTAATACTATAAATAAACAATTATAGTATGTAACAGCAGGGCTTCACCTGTGTAGCAAGGCAGTCAATGAAAGCTTTGCATATACTTAAAATTAAATCCTTAGGTTAAAAACAGTTTAAATTATTCCAGATTGCAACTTGGTTCTAGCGCAAACAGAAAAGATGATCTTACTGCATTTCACACTTATTTGCCTTACTGTTTTCTACCATTTACTGCTATTTGCCTTCCAAGAAAGAAGCTTTACTTATCAGAAGAACAGGAAAATGAAAGAAAATTCAACCTATTTATATAATGAAGCAGAACTATTCATATTTTTTCCAGTATAAGAGATTGTTTCATGCAAATTCCTCCAAAATAGATTTTGCTGTAAGAATGTAGTTTAAAATAGTCACAATACTTCTATGCTGGTGCTTTCTACCTTACAGCAAAATTATTTACAAAACTCTTGAATAACAACTCAAGCATGGCAGCTTGATCACACAACACTTTTATATAAATGGAGGTTATGTAAGAAAAAATTTACCTACAATCTGCACAAATAATGCTCCATGCAGGGTCAAAACAAAACACTGCAAGGACTGAAGCTGGCTCAGAGATCATTCCAAGCAGTTAATTCTCAACTCAAACCCTTTCCCTGCACATGCTGCCAGCCATGCCAGAAGTAGGTCACTTGCCATATCTGGTAAGCCTGTGCTTACACCACCAGATGTCTTTATGCAGACATCAGAAAGTCTTAAAGCACGGTCTACCGCTCAACAGCAAATCTATAAAATCCTACACCTCATCCGCCCCCCATTAAGTCACGTCCACCCAAAAATGTATGAAAACCTTTTTACTTTAGCTTACCTTCAAGACACCTAGCAATATTACATACTCTAAAAATAACTCTAAAGTCAAATATTTGAAGACAAAACAGTATCTCTTATGTTAATTTATGATCTATTAGGCAAAAAATTATTTACAATTAACCACCAGCCATAAACTCATGGAATACCTCTAGTCCAGAAAAGACGTAATCAGAGAGAACAGAGGCAGCCTGTAACACAGACTAGACAGCAAACTGGCAAGAAAACATACCAAAGTAAGCCAGTTATTTTGCTGAGTATAAAATCAGACATAACTGCTATTTGCAAGTACACATTTGCTCACCATAAAAAGGTTAGGATTATACCTGTGTCGTCAGCCATAACATTAGTGCTCGATTCCCACCAGCAGAGCGAGTGTGTCAGGATATCCAAAAATTAATGCTGAAGGCAGAATAAGAAATATCCTCACTGTTATCCTCCTGTTTGCAACAGGAGCAAACAGGTTTCCTAAAGCCAGCTCAGCTGGAACCTGAAACTGGACCCAAGAGAAACCTCGCCTCCAAATCTATTTTTAGAGCAGTTATCCTCAGGAGCCAAACGCTTTTCAGAACTCATATGGCAATCTAGTTCTGACGACAATGAAATTCACTTACTCCTCCAAACAGAGCATCCTGGGTATTTGATCCTTTCCCCTCCCCTTAATCCTCCAACATCAAAAACAACAGCGAATGAAACCAAGCACATTGTACTATAGTACTTCTGCTGCAATTTATGCCACAGTGCCTGATCTCTAAGGACATTAAATCCATTCGCATTAGCTGAAATACAAGTCTGGACACAAAGCTTGCCTGCTTGCATTTGTTACGCTGGCCCTCATCCAAGAAACTTTCTCCATGTTGGCACTCCCCTACTGGGCTCTGAGTATCCCTGTAGAGACTACCCATTTAAAACTTGCTAACTATTTTAAGAAGAAAGAGACAACTCCTTTCTATAATGTAGGTTTGTGTCTTCTAACAGAATTACTTGAAACCAACCTTATGCATTCTTGCCAAAGAATTTTCATATCAGAAGCATACATATTGTATTTACTTCTGGTAGACCCTTCCCAGAAAGGGTTAACACTAAATTATCTCACTTGCCCCTCCCTTAAATTTTGACAAAATGCATACTGCTTGTACAATTTAAAGCTAATATAAATTAAATCACCAATACATGCTCCTCTTAAGGACCAGAAAGAGAGCAAAAACCCATTAATACACTTTTCAACTTTTTTCCATCTTCAATTTTTAGCAAACCATTATTTTCCCATTACTTGTCAAACAAAAGTCAGCTCCTTTTAGGTGGAAGTCAGAAACAAACTAATTTCTCATTCACTACAACTGTAAAAAAAGCTTTTGAATCTACGACTCTGCCCCACTACCCTCATGCTTCTTTAAATAACACAGCTACCAGTGAACAGAAGAATGGAGCAAACAGAATGGAACAGAAGATGGAGCGAAGAGAAGAATGGTACAGCTACTTTGAAAATCAACACATATCTTCTGTGGTTTTAACATCCAGCAAATGCAATTCTCAAGAGTTCAAGGAAGAAAAATTGAGAAATAGAACTAGAGCTAAAGACTTTTCATATGGATGGAAAGGAACTACAGGCAGTTGATTCTATAACTAGTGTATATTTTAACTATGTTTAAAGCCACTTTAATACATTAAATGGATCAGATGCTTTAAGAAAGACCTCCTAGTAGTACATTTCAGTAACATAACTGAAGCACAAACAATTAAGAGCAAAGTGGGGAGAAATTTACACAGAGTGAAAGTGACTGAACATGGAGAAATTAAAAAAAATATTTAAAATCATTTTACATGCAATGATATGTATTCTATTGTATATAAACAACACAGTGTTTTGACAGGCATTAGATAAGGCAATTTATAGCAAATTCACTTCAGCTGCACTTGCATTTGCAGACAACAGATCTTACCACCAGTACACTTATAGAGTATTTAACTGATGCTGGGAACTGCCCTGTCCATTGATATATATTTTGGAGGGATCGGTCTGAACCAGATGTTATCTGGCAGAATGCCCATAATGATTGCAGCACACCTTTTGGCACCTTTAACTCAGACCTAAGTGAGCAAACTCCATTCAGGGACAACAGGCACAAGGCTTATAAGGAAAGTGAATTGAGATAAACAAGAAATTAATTTCAAATGTACACTCCAAATCTGAACTAACATATCTATGTTGACCTCTAGCCTTTAAAAATTAATTGATTGCAAGAATGACAAACATCTTCCTTCCTGAAAGGGGACACTACAGCTAAAATGGGGAAATTCTTC